CACACACACACACACACGCACGCACACACACACACACACACACACACACACACACACACATACACATACACATACACAAACACACACATACACACATAAAATATACATCCCAAAATTTAAATAAACAGTAGCGCGCATTCGGACAGCTGCTGCGATCATCGTTTTGTACACTTTCACCTAGCGAAAGTAGGTTTTTAAAAATATCCACTGTTTTGTCACCTGGTGTGTGCAGAAATCGTTGGAATGTTTTGTTTGACTAAAACTTACATTTTCTAACAAGTGAGATCTAGGCATGCATGGAAAAAAAATTTCTAAAATTCCAAAACGGCACATGAGCAAGAAACATCCTCTTGAAATGTCGACTTCCTGCCGTATCTAATTCCGGTGTTAGGAAATTTCCGTCCAAAATAGGCGCGCTTGTATGTGAGGTGTGGGGCATGGGGAAACTGAATCTGAAATTTTCGGCACTGCACAAGCAGCGTAATATCCTCCTTAAGTTTTAGCTCCTACTTCTGGTCAGTATTTTTTAGCCAAAATCTTATGTATCGGTGTACGAGACCTAGACGCATGTGAGAGCTGAATTTGAGATCTTTGGGTTGCAAATAAGCATCGAATATTTCCATAAAATTTTAGCTCCCTAATATTTCTGGTTCCCGAGTTAGTAGTTCTCGGCCAAAGCTTCCAGTTGAGTTTAATTTACGGGGTCGTACATAGGGAGGGGCGACAGCCTAAAATCTTAGCTTCTTAGCTTTTATGGTTCCTGAGTCAATAATTTTTGCACCAAAACATTCATGTGCTTTTACGTAAGACCTACAGTATATGAATAGTGAATTTATACCTCCAAATCATATGCGGATATAGAACACTCTCCTAAAATTTTAACTCCTAACTTCAGTGGTTTCCAGGTTATTAATTTCGGCGACAAAAAATTAACGTGGTCGTAAATGAAACAAAGGCTTACGTGGGGTTTGATTTTACGTACTTGAGACCAATGTGCAGGTAGCGAACGTAATTCGAAATTTCGGCATTCTAGCCTTTTTGGATTCTGAATTAATTTTGGCGCCAGCGTTTTTACATGTCCGTACATGAGACCTGGGCGTACGCGGGGATGAATTTTAGTTAGCGAGATCACAGGCGGGTAGGGAGTGCTACGATAAAATTTCAACTTTCTAGCTTCTCTGGTTCCCGAGTTGATGTTGGCTCTACCTGGAGCAAGTAGACTGAAAATCCAGTCATGTCCTCTTGTCCCTTGTTCCAAATAAGGCTCATACCGTAAAAATCAGCCCAATTCAAGACATGCAACCTTCCACGGTCTTTGCGGATTTTTTTAGCACCAAGAGCAGGTCCCACAATTTCGACCGGTTTCCCGCGTTGCACTTATCTTGCGCTAGCCCAAGTTTCAGGCAACCTCTAAAAATTGTTTTTTCTTAAATCAG